GCGGTCCGCGCAGCATCCAGCACACCAGTGGACCCAAGATCCTTCATCCTGGAATGACTGCGACCAATCTGAATTGAACATAGAAGTTATGTTGTCGATGTGATCCTCGTTGAAATCCAGATTGTGGCCCATGAGCTGGCAAATAATTTTTTGTTTCTTGGACCAACTGATGCAGCTTTGGGGCAGATTTGCTACAACTCTCCTGTCAACTGACTGCGCTATGGTATCCAATCCCTGGGCAAAAAGATCTTGAAATTTTGAAGAACGCATGGATCTTGTGAAGCGCACAAGAGATGAACATAATCCAGAAATTGCAAGTAAAGAAGGTTTCTTCGATAATGCGCACTGATGCGAGAGGCAGTTCATCTCGAACTGTGCTGTGCTGGATGCAACCGGGCAGCCCTTGTTTTTTCTTTCTTGCCATCCTTGATGTTCGCTTGCTTGGACATTGTGATTTGCAGGTAGCGCATCGCTGCCTTGGCGTTGCAGCAATCGGATGGTCTCGAAAGCCATCAAAAAAATAACAACGCGGACAACAAACACGGAAAGATTCAGGCACTGAATACTGAAAGCAGGATTCAATATATTATCAGTTTCAGTGGGATAGCAGCGAAAAGGTTCCAAAGCGTTTCCCCACCGAAGGGGATGCCACAACCATGGCTGGAAATCACAGACCATCGCCGAATGCGGTCACAAATTGTAGCCCAATTCGCACGCGAAAGCAGCTGACTAGGACAATGAAGTTGAACGATTCGTCCCACTGGAACGTGTGGGCCCTTCTCACTCTCATCGCGTAGGAAAAGACATTGCAACATGCCCAAAAGAGATTGTTGTTTTTTCATACCCCGTTTTTGCCTTACTTGCTTGGTTCCATCTGCATTGATCTTGGTAGACGTCGTCGTGTTTGATATGAAGATGTTGGTGTCATCAGCGACCATTGTGACCTAGGACTCTAGGACTGACGCCGGCACTGACTTCAGCCACCGACAGCCGCAAAAAAAAGGCTAAGAAAAACTTAAGACTTAAGGCTAAGTAAGAGCGTCGATGCAGTGCTTGTAGCCCTCGTTTGCCTGCAGAATCTGTCGCAGTGATTCCTGCTGAGATCTAGCATGGCTCAAGATGCCAATAGCCTTTTGCCTCGCCAAATTCTGATGGGCCTGCGAAACAAAGTCAAAAGCGTTGACTTGCCCGGAGGGAGTGCGGAAAAGCGCCAGATTTTGGGCGGTGCTTATGCCGCTTCTTGTTGCTGCAGCCAAAAACTGCCCAAACACATTGCGCACTAAGCCAATCTTTTCATCGTTGATCTTGGTTGACAAGCCTTCTGCTTTGCGCACAGTGGATGCTAGGATGCCAAGTCGGACTTTAGCACTGTGTTCTGCCCCATGCGATCGGCATCGTGGCAGTCTTTGTTCTCCAGTGTCGGTAGTAGATGGAGGTAGCAACGGCGGAGCCTTATCCAAACAACCGACACAAATGTGAGATGACCCCGTATCCTGCGCTGTATCTATCATATGACATGCCTTGTGTCAAATGCCCTTCCATCGTGCATACAGCACACATTGTATCTTGTCTATCTAACTTTTTTGTGTTGTTACCTAATGAATCAAGGTATCCATATGGGCGTGTGCTTTTTTAAACTGTAGTCTTGGGCCGGAAACATTGAAGATTTGAAATTGTATATTGTTGGATTGGCTGGCTTCCAGCAGTTGACCCACCGCGCCGTGAGGCAGTAGGCAAGCAGTGTTGGTCGCTGGGCAGACTAAGCAAATGTATTCTTCTACCGAAGACCCCAAGCTTCACCAAAGGAAAGACCCTTTTGACTACAGCGCGCACCAGTGGGGACTTCTGCAGGCCACACCAAAACAAGGGATGTGGGATGGGAAAAAACTCTGCAAAACTACGCTCTTCTTCCCAAGGGAGAGCACACGGGAACATTGGTACGCATGGGATGTGAGCCTTGGCTCCACAAGAAGACAAACAATTTCGGCCAAGTTGAGTGCCCGTGGATCACGAGAGTAAAAACGTCACGCCATTGGGTCTTGGACCATACAAGGCACAAAGACCAGCAAAAAGCTTCACCTCAACACATACTTTTCAGGGGTATGATTCAAGGGTATGAATCGTTCAAGTCGAACTTCCAACCACTACATCAGGAATCAGGAAGCACACCCCCAAAAATACAAGGTCTGTATCGTGTATCTGCATCAGTATTTCAAACACGAGTTTAGTTTACCTAAGTTATACAATGTTTTGTTTAGCTACTACAATACTGTATTTTATAACATGTTTAGTTTATTGCTATACTAAGCAGTGTTAGTTTAGCTATTACAAATACTGTATTTGTATCTGTATCTTACATGTTTAGAAAAAGTGTAAGTTCCTCCAGTTCTGCCTGCGACAATCGAAGGCTCGCCCGGGGCAAGCCAAGAAGGGCATTCACAAAACCCCCTGGCATTGATCTCACCGCTCAGCAATCTGAAACTGCCATGGCCCGCAGTTCGTGTCTTGGATCAGTCTTTCTTCTTGAACTCTGATCTGGTTGAATTCTGAATGCATCTAGTCTCTACTTTAAGTAAATGAATCGTAAATTCTGACATGGTACGATCCATCCCTCGTAAAATGATATATCATGCATTTACAAACCGGTTTATCGTCTACGGTGTGTTAATTAACTCACCATGAGATGTGTTCCAAGTTATGGGCCAACACACTGCACGCACTAGTCGACAGTCGCTGACAGTCGCAAATCGAAACAATGCGTAATCTGGCCCAGAACATGCCTCACAGAGAGCATCAGGATGTTGGGTATCTGGCGGTGGTGCTTGGCCAATCTTCTTGAGGCACCCAAGAACATTCTCCAAAATGTAGAACCTGCGTGACGCCCAAATGCTAGCTAACAACATTTGACACCAAGTCAAAAACTTGTCTGAACAGTATATGTTCAGCCTTGGCCGTCTTCTTTTGATGTGGGCGACGGTCTCGACAAATGGAACAATCTTCCAAGCCTTAGAAACAGACCAATACTCTGACCTGTGGCTCGACTCGACCTATGAACATCGAACTCCCAGGCAATGTTTTGCTCCGTCATTGATACAATAGTACATACTGCCATGTCCGAGTCAGGCCACATTGCCACCTTCCAGGGCAAAGAGGTTCTTCACATCCGATTTGTATCGCAAAGAGCTCTCCTACAAAATTGGAGGCGCAAGTCCAGCGTCAAATGTGCTTCATATACATCAGGAGAAACAATGTCCCCACGCAGGGGTCCTGGCTGAAAGCCTTGCACGTGAATCCGACGATGTACAGGTCTTCTTTCATGAATCCCTGACACAAAGCATCCCAGTTTCTTGCAATTCAAAAGAGACACTGATTCAATGTAGAAGTCGTGATTCAAAAGAGACACTGCCATGGCCTCCTCATCGTGCGCACAGAGCGCCGGAACTTGTGATCCGGCGATTGCATCAAATCCTCCGGTCCTGGTGATCCAAAAGTGACATGACTTGGACATCAAGTTGATCCAAAAGTTTGATCCTCACGGATCCAAAAGTTTGTGATCCAATCATTCTCCAAATTGCAACCGTCCTCGCTCCAGTGATATCCACGTAGCACCGCTTGGGATCGGTCTGGGCCAACAAGAACTCCCTGGTTGGTGCCTAGGAACTCCACCCAACCTAACTTCATGGCCCATGGTTGCTAGCTCAAAACAACAGTTTGAAATTGGACAAATTGAGATTCACTCAATCTGCTCAACCTCCAAGCTAACTCCCGGGCTCCTTGCTGACAAAGCACATGACGCTCTGACGCAGCGATCTCCACCAAATTCGATTGCCCAACCAACTCCACCAGGGCCAGCGTGGGAGCCCCAGTGCCAGAGCAACCTGTCGTGACCACCTCATGCGCGTAGCATGACTTGGCACAATGTTGTTCAAAGAGCAGCTGAAGCAATCTGATGTTTTGAAAAGGGGGCAAGCTCTTGACATGACAATTGTTGGAGGTCAAAAGAATTCTCAACTAATGTTCCTCTCGCTTCTTTGAATATGCAATGCAAGACACAAGCTTGTCATCCAAAGGCTGCTGCAACAAGTCAGGTGACAAACCCAGCTTGCCCAACCCAAGTCTGGCCCAAGACAAAGCCAACGGCGGACCACGCTCATCTTTCATCGGAGAACGCGACCTCGACCGAGACCTGCAACAGCCACGCACCACAGGCCCAAGGCTCCCGATTAACCCCGGGTCAAAACATAGCATGCAGCATGCACCTGAACCGAACCTGAGTGCTGTTTGTCAACAAGCCTTTGCCTGGTGGTTGGTGACGATGTGTCATCACCAGCGCCAGCCAGAAAGGTTGAAAATCCCGCCATGCCAAGCAACGCAGGATCCCTAGTAGCGTCCTTGCTCCTAGTAGTAAGGCCAGGAGCCCCTAGTAGCGTCCTTGCTCCTGGTAGTAAGGCCAGGAGCCCCTAGTAGCTTCCTTGCTCCTAGTAGTAAGTAGTGGCGTCCTTGCTCCTAGTAGTAAGGCCAGGAGCCCCTAGTAGCGTCCTTGCTCCTAGTAGTAAGGCCAGGAGCTCCTAGTAGCGTCTTTGCTCCTAGCTTGTGCTGAGCAACTGCATCGGTGAATTGTGTCTTTCCCAAGTGAGCGAGAAGAGCAAATCTTGAAAAAACATTAAAAAACATACACAAATAGAAGAAAACCTCGAGAATCATGGAAAACACGCTAAAAAACATGCTTTCGCTTGGAAAACTTAGGAAATACCACCCAAAGCATGCAATCTTGCTACCTTTCTGCCCTGATTCTCAAATTCTAGTGTTAACGCTTTTACGGAGGAACCAATATATATATATAACATAATACAATATAATATAATGTAATACAATATAATATAATATAACATAATATAATATACATAATGCAGAAAGGAAGGATTCCCCACTCTGATGCTGTTACATGCTGCTTCAATGTCCACTTTTCAGCTCGAAGCCCTGATGCTTCATGCGTGGAGGCCAAAGTCCTTTCTCCGCCGACGTGCTCCAGATGAAATCGAGGCGACATTGAACAACATTTGGATTGGCTTGGTTGGATCGATTGGATCGAATTAACTATATAACCCTGGGAAAAAGACGCTCCAGCTCACCCAGCCTCGTGCCGCTCGCCAGACAGCGTTGACCCAGCTGGACCAGGGGGCCTTGAACATGGTGAAGCAAAGCGCGGATGTCCAGCACAGCCTTGGTTGAAGCAATGGCCAGGTTGATGGCTTCCACTCCAGTTTCTCTTGGATGGGAGAAAGAACGCCCTTTGGTCGGGTGGGGTGACTGCTTTGCTCAAGCTGGAAAATAGCATATGACTGGAACCTCTTTTGTGTAATAGTGTAACTTTGGCAACTGGGCTGCTTTCAAAAGACATTATTTTTTTGCCTGCAGTGCAGCTAGGGTTTGTCTGGGCAGTTCCACCTTGAGTGGTGTGTGAGCAATTTGATTTTGTTAGGTCCGTTGTTCATAGGCAAATCTCAAATATTGGGCCTTGGGCACAGCTAAACCCGGCACTCCCTCACCAAAATGACCGTGCGTCTCCAGGGTACACACACACACTCTCTCTCTCTCTCCATATGTATACACACAAGTACAAACGGTGTTCAAACCAAACCACACACCGACCATGCAAAAGAGTCAACAGACAAAGTTTTGCCCAGAAACCGAGATTGCACTGAGGCATCTCAAAACTGTTTGCTTACGGAATGCACCCTACTTGAGGGTTGGTGCAGGGTCATTGTACTGTTCACGTGTTGACATCGGTGCCCAGACCTCCAAACTTTCCAAATTTTAAGCTGATTGCACCTAATAGCTTCTTGTTCCTAGTAGTGAGGCCAGGAGCCCCTAGTAGCGTCCACTTGTTCCTCAAGTTTGATGAGTCCTGAGGTTTCAAGAAGAACTTAGATTTGGCCGACTTCGCCAAGGTGGGAGGAAGTGGATGTCCGGCGAGACATGCCCCGTAGTTTCCACTGTGTAGAGGATGCAGAAAACCCCAAGTGAGGTGTGAAGAGCGCAGTCTTCGAGAGGCATGTGGTTTACGAGCAGATGCAATTGTCGTTGTTCAACAAAATTTCAGGGGAGGATCACTTGCTGATCATATCAAGATCTCGCGATACTTCCTGTGAGCATATGTGAGATTCTGTGAGTTGCATAATTTGAAGAATTATCCAGAATCCAACAGAGCCAACCAATCCGATGAAGTTCACGTTTACCAGAGCTGTGAAAATCGAAAGAGTCTGGTGAGCGCGGGTAGGAGTACCAGAAAAGGCTCTCAGCCTAGTTGCCGCTTGCCTTGTGTAGTCAATCTGCTGGTTTGGCTACTTTAGAGAATCCCCCCTCTCTCTCTCTCTCGCTCTCGCTCTCGCTCTTATCAGCAGATTAGGAGACATAGAAACCTGAGGCCATTGTCAGCACTGGCACCTATGACGCAGATCGGGCCTGGACACCTGGTTCCTTTGCAGAAGACTTGTCGTTTCATGCGTGAACTGGCCTGATAGGTAGGGTGCTTGAATCAAGCCAAGTTGGAGAATGGATTTGAGTGGGTGGTTTCTCGCTCTCTCCGTGACAAGGTCCAAGAAGATTCATAAAGTCTGCATTTCTACATGTCTACAACCTTTTGAACAAAGTGTGGATTTCACCAGTCGGTCAACCGTTCTTGAATGGGTCTCCGCACGCATTGAATCCACTTCCTGATGCTTCGTTTTGCTTCACACCTGATCTGACACTTACGGAGTTTGTTTCGTAGGTCCTGGCCTTCGTCAGCGGTGTGGTCGACCTCTATTTGGAGGCCTCCCGACCGGTTCCGTTCGGCTGATTGGAGCCGGTTAGTCACAGACTGACATTGGTACGAGTTTCCAGCGACCCTTCTATATAGTTACTTTCCTGTATTTCATATTGTTACTATTTATATATTACAACATCTCCTATCTCATCATTTCATCTCCACGTGTCGCTTGTCATGAATCATGAGAACGAAGAGTGCCTAGAAGCTACTGGTGTTTGTAGCGGACATTTTTGGATCCAATGACAATTGCAGAGTTGAGTTCTTCTCGCAAGCTGCCACCAAATGCTACAGGGCAGTCCCCCTTGCCTCGATGTGTGAGACTAGGTCTTCCGCTCGCAGTCGGACAATGACGAAAAAGCTGTGAAGTGGGCGCAGGCGAGGGGCAGAGTTGCGAATCAGCTGCATTCCTCTTCTTTTGCAAAGAGTTCTGCGTGTTTTTGCAGGATGGATAGAAGGATCGCACACAGTACATGGTTCAACTGACACTGAGTTGGCTCAAGCCCCCAGCTACTGGGGCCACGGAAGGGTGTGCCCAACTGTCGGACTGAATGCAATCGGAAGCACTGGAAAGAAGCACATTTTCCTGCAGGTTGCATGATGGCGTGGAGACGAGGCCAGGCTCACTCTCAGCAATGTGAGCACTGGCTTCAGTAGCAGAATTGGTTCCAGCATCAGAAGCAGTTCGTGCCTTCCCGAGATCAGCTGGGCCGATGCCATGTATCAAGATCTTGGGGAGCTCTTGAAGCGGCTGCAAGGCTCTTGAGCATTGAAACTGGACAGGCTGCGGCGAGCTAGCCTCGCAGCTTGCCATGAACCTGAAAGTGCAGCACCAGTTCCCATATGACATTCTGCCTGTCCCCAGGCGGTAAATTATTGTTCACAGTTCGAATGCCTCTTGGTTCTGTTTGAAGACGTAGGGGATGGACGTGGGCTATTGCTTGCAATCTGCGATGATGCTGCTGCTCCCTAGCCACCCAGACCTCTATGTTGTTGGCTTTCCTTGCAAGGGCTTTTCCATCTCGAACTCCAAGTGCAAGTGCTTGCAGGCTCCACATGCAGCGACCTTGCATGGTGTAGTAGGCTTCGCCAAGAGTCACATTCCTGCTGGAGCATGTTCAAGGTACAATGAGCAAGAAAAAAAGGCCAAGTGCCAAGCAGCGAGGTCATGAAGACTCTCCGAGCCTTAGATGGCTGTGAGGTGAAGCAGGCTATAATTTGCCCCAAGTCGAGTTGCACGTGTGTCCATTGCCAGGACCGGTACGTCGGCTACTGACATTGAGACGGAGGCTGGATGATGCTGAGATGATGTGGAATCTGAAGCTCAGCAAGCTGATGCTGGCTGGTGGATCAGAGAAAGGACGGTGGATAGCGACACATCATCAGCTCCGAAGACAGGTAGGTGAGGTGCCAAAGCCGAGGAAGTGGTATTGGTGGCCGCTGTTCCTTTTCAAGCTCAGGACACGCTATGAAGCTCCCAGTCACTAGTCGATCCCCATTTCGATGAAAGTACAAGGACAAGAGGTTTCCTCTTCGGTCGAACTTCTCTCCTGAGATCTCCAGAGGTGTCCTTTGTGTGGCTCTTTCTGACAAAGAGACACACAGTGCCTCATTCCATGAAGCAAGATCCGAGTTTACAAAAAATGGCTTGTCGAGCCTTTTCTACGAGCAGCACATGGGATTCTGAGCAGTGTGCCAGTTGTTGGATTTTTTCTTGCTCTTAATCTTTGTGTTTGTTGAAATTGTTTCAGAGCCTTGGCCAATGACTTTGGGCTAGATCGACTTCCAAGCGAATGGCGCTGGACACCACAAGGTATCGGAGTGTAAAAGAGCGCTTCCGAAAAGCATTCATTCCTTCACCAGCTTGTGAGGCTTCGAGCGGAGCTGGTTTGATGGTCATTCAGTGAAAAAAAGACAGGCTTTAATGTGATTGAATGTTGTTTTGTTCAGAAATCGTATTTGGGTCCATGCCTGTAATCCAGCACGCCCAGTTGATGAATCACTTCATCGAGTCCCCAGAGATCGTGATGTTCGAGGGCAGCGAGGCTGAGTTTGTCTTGCGGAAGCTTGGGTGAGGGGTCCGTGGCCTCTTCAACAACTTGGCAAGCACCATGTTGCCTGTTACTCGTAGATTGATTTCACATGATGCAATTGCAATTTGAAAGGTCACGGTTCTTATCATGTGCCGCCCACACGTCAAATCTTCATCCATGCATAAAACGAGAAGCTGTGTGAGGTGTTTGCTCCTGTGTACAGTACATGATGCTGATAGTAAACACCAATTGTGCCTGATATTGCGCTGTATGTATAATGCTACATAATGGACATCACCTCTCACTCCCTTTGCACCAAGCTAGCGTTTGTACAGCAGGACGTGCACAATACTGCCATTACTTGTGAAGGCGACATGAAAAACTAGCTACTCAAAATCTGTTGGGGGCCGTGGAGCCAAATGATCTGTGAGGTGGCTTCTGCCATTGTAGGGCCAAAGAGTGCATCCTCTAACAACTTGGCGCAGGCGCGGCAACAAGAGCGGACTTGGACTGGATCTTGAGATGTCGCTTGAGGGCATCAAATCAAAGCCTAAAGCATACAACTACAATGAACTAGGACCTGTTGATTTCTCAAACAAAAGACAGCGGCACACAGTGCCTCCAATAGCTCAGTCTCACCCTCACACTCTTGAAGTCCAGGTGCGCCGCAGCAACCTGGTGGACTGTGCCAAGCATATGGTGGGGAGACGGCGTCAGAAGTTGCCTTGATTTGTTCATTTTGATCAAAGTCCTTCGGGATCAAGACATATCAAATCCTCCGTTTGGATCTGGAGTCTATTTTCGATATGTAAGGCAAATAGGCCAAGCCGCTTGGGTTGGACTCATTCACATTCACCTATGATGTGACATTCATTTAGCAGCAATCCTGTGGCAAGCATTCTTGGTGTTTGTGTCGCGCTACGGGTGACTGGGTAGCGCCAGGATGAGTTTTACTGTTTTCCTTTGATTATTGTATATGTGTATATGGATTTATAATCATCTACACGCGGCGATGAACAAAGCTGAGCGTTATTGCATCACCCACAACAGCGGCCTGATTCACATCAGGGCCAAGAACGAACGAGCTAAGTCGGCAGAAACACAAATAGGCCAACGCAAGCAAACACGAGCCAAGTGACTATCTTATCTATATTTGTAAATATAGAAGGATACACACACATACATACTTGCTCTCAGTTTGTCTAATGCCACAGTCACAGTGGCGAACTCATGAATCACATGGGCATTGGGTCAGTAAGGCACACCAAAGGTTTCAATTACCCAGTTGGCTTGCCTCCAGATAACAGCCCTTCAACGTGGACGCGTTGCCAACTGCCCTACTCATTTCAACGGTTAATTATGGTTAATTGAAGTCACGAAGTCTCACGCTCTGCCGGTTTTCAGGGTTCTGGCATCCGGAAAATCAACTGGATGCCGTCCCTGGAGATGCTAACGACTGTGGGAGCCTCAAGGTAGCCAAGCATGCTCGAAGGGCGGATGCTTCAGAGCATCCAGCATTCTGTTGAGAACAATAAGAGTGCCAAGAGCAGCTCTAGCTGACTCCAGCTCTTTTTTGTTAGTCACTGTGAGTGACTGTCCATGCTTGTTCTGCAAAAGGGTGTTCATACTTCAGGTAGGCACCACTCCACTCTGGACAGTTCCTGTAGCGGTAGTCAGCAATCAGTACATGAAAGCTGAGATGACAACCAGCCTGTCAGAGAAATATTGGGCTGTTATTGTTGGTCGTAAAGAGGTTTGCGGTTTGCGTATTTCCGCTTTAATCAACATCCTTTATGCCAGCTAGATGAGAAGAGTCTCCAATGCTCCAATGCATCCCCGTTCTGGTTTCTTGCTGCAAAAAGCGCAGTTGACCTGATACATCTTTCGACCTGGTCAGGTGTGTTTACACCACATGGACATTGAGTGAAAACCCGGTACCCCGGATTAGTACCGTACCGTGCAGCCAAGCCCCTGCAGCCCCCCTGGTCACCGCTCTTCGTCTCAGGTCGAAGGCACCGAGTCGGTGTATTTCTGGTCGCCCAGCATGGCATGGGACACGGCACGTGTGGCTTGGGTAACCCGGTGGGAGGACCGAGGATGAGGACCGGTCGAGGTTGACCAACGCACCGTTTTTTGGAAGTGTCGATTTTTGGGAAAAAAAACATCGGGATAAACTCGAATCCGAATATGTCAAACCTATTGCATACAGAATGTCTTTCGTACATGTCTGCTTCTGGGAAACTGGGACCCAATCTAAAGTGCGGCGGTGGTTTCCCCAAGGTCCCAAGGTGCCGTCAATTTTGTGTTTTGATGCCGCCCAACTTGCTGTAGAAACACTAAGCTATTCAATTTGCGATGCTTGTATTCGGTGCCGTTTTGCCTGGCTTAACCCAATCCTCAATCACACGAGCACCAAGAACTCTGGCAGATAATCCTGTGACAAAATCCAAGGATTGGTCTTTAAAAACACCTGGATCTCGACAATCTTAAGCATCAAGGGACTTTGCGACCAAAGCCCTCCATGGTTCGATCCTTCCGTGCTGCGTGAAAGTTTGCTTGTGCTCAGGTCACTCCACAGCTGCCAGCTGACTACTTTGATGAGCAGAAGCTGCCCGGCTGAACAACAGCGCTCTGCAATTGCCGTCCACGTAAGTTGTGAGACAATTGCCAGGGCTGTTGTGTTTGTTCGCCGCTGGTCTTGACCGTCCAAACTTCCATTCTGACAATGGCATGGTAGCACTCCAGCCATGCGGTTTTGCGCGACCTCGGTGGAAAGTGCGCTTGCATGAGTCCGTGCCATTGGGGGAAGGAAACCCTGCTGGTGTAAACACTGCGTGTCATGGTGAGTGACAGGGTGGACAGAGGTGGGCCCTCATTATAAAAATAATCCAAAGTCGCCCGTGTCGGGTAGCTCAGTAGCGGCTTTAAAGGGCGGTAATTAAAAAACAAATATAAGCCGCCTTTCGGGGGTTCCGACGTGACTTTTTTTTTTACACTGGGGACCATCTTTTAATAGGCTCCCAAGATTACTACAACCACAAGTTCCCAAGTAGTTCCTTTGCCGTTTGCCGGCCTTCACGCCAGCTGATGAAGACCAAGAACTTGTCTTCAAGCCTATCTTAGGCCACTGTGGACAGTGCATGCTGTTGCGTGGGACAATGACCTGCAGGACAGCCGGTTTGGATTCTGAAATGCATTAGTAACAAGAAGCTACTAGTAGCTCCTGGCCTTACTACTAGGAGCAAGAAGCTACTAGTAGCAAGGGGCATCGCTACTAGTAGCAAAAACGCAGACTAATTCCACCCTGAACACAGCAGCATACTCCCGCCCCGTTAGTGGCTCGACTCTAGGCAACACAGGCTTTTTGCAACAGGCATGTTTGTTCTGTCGAACTTGCTGCTGGGAACGAGTTTAGGCCTGGTCTTATCAATTTGTCGGATCATAGCGCCCAATGCTCAGGATTTGGTGGCCTTGTTGAGCAACCGCTTTCTGATCTTTTGGCGACTCAGAAATCGGGAGAAGGTCACACATGCGCTGTGTCGATTTCCTGTCCGACATAGTTCACAAATGAGAGCAAAAATCATTCAGGCTGAGCACGAGTTGGACTGGCTTGGAATCTAACAAGCACAAACTTCTCAGCATCTCGCTGATTAGATTTGGCCGCTGCGGGAGGAATTCACTTCGTTACACCTCTACCAAAAACGGTATGACACCTGCTAGTCCCCCACCCCCGACGTCAAGAAAAAGAAGCATTCAGAATCAACCCCAGGATTTTCTGAATAGAAAGATAGTTGGTCTCCGACCTCAAGAAAAAGACTCTCTTGCAGCTTCACTAGAGTCACTACGTACCACCACGCGCTGTTCAGGGCCAATTTCAGCAGAAGAAGGAGTTCCGCTTCCATGCCACGCGTCAAGAGGCTTTGGCTGCTGGGGCTTTTGTTATGAAAGAGTTTCGCCCACGTATATGTTTGTGATCTTGCAAAACTGGGCCAAAAGACAAACAGATTGCTCTATAGGCGAAGTCATTTAAGCTCTAGATCACACGGTCCAATCCACAAATGGTGACAACATTTCAATCGGTCTTCATCCTGAGATGGTTCAATATGTTTCTGGTTCCTCGAGTGCCATTCCCTTGTGCAGGGGAAAACTGGAACGTTTCCGTGGAAGGCACCTCGCAAAGGGCGCCGAGAAATGAACGAAGATGGTCAGATGGTCTATTTTTTGTTTGCGAGACGGCAGATGTTAGAATAGCCATCGACTCTGAGCAGTTTCACAAGGTTTGGAGATGAGCTTAGGTATTTTAGGTCTACAATGGTCTACATATTAGGTCTCTACGGTCTACATATTGGAGGATTAGCTTCACTTCACAGACCCACAGATCCAGAAGCTAGAGGTTGAGCAACATCACCTTGCGAGAATCAGTTTGGAGAAAACACCAGTTACTAGTAGCATCTTTTTACTTGTAGTTACTAGCAGCTTCTTGCTCCTAGTAGCCATGCCCTTTGTTCCTAGTACTAGTTACTGGTAGCTTCTTGTTACTAGTAGCTTCTTGTCTCACTATAAGTCACCCGAAGCTGCGAAGCTTATGTCCGCCTTGGTCTCTGTTCCGGAGTCCATCCAGAGTAATGTGCTCACCACCTGTGGAGTTCAGCCACTGTTAAAGACCTACCCAAATGTTCAGCCCATTTTCAGGCGCGCAACGTACAGCACCGAATCTGTCCAAAGGTATAATTGATTTGAGGAGGATTTCTGGCTGAACTCAATACAGTCCAACCTTAGAACAGTTTTTAATTGAACAGCACCAAGCCTTAGCAAACATTTTTCCATTTTTAGGGGAGCCTGTTTCTGTATATCTCCATGGAACCAAAGACTCAACAAATTTGAGAGAGTCCCCTGCCGCATGGAATCAAATAATGCCAGGTGCACTTGCGAACGATGGACCCCAAGAATGAGGTCGCATGCTAAGTTATCCAGCCTCCTTGCTGTGAGCTTATTATTCCCAATCATTGGTCACTTGCTGCCCGATCTTTGATACTTTCTTGGATTATTTTACAAGTGTTTGCGAGGCGCAGCAGGAGGAAGTGGTTCGCAGTAAAGTCAAGGACATCGAGAGGGGTTTGCCGAGGAATGGACATTGTTTAGACTCCGCTGGTTTAATTAATGATCATTGATGCTTGTGTCAATTGTTCAGAGTTGCAGTGACTACTGGCGGAAGTTTGGACTCGGACCTGGAGTAGACTCGACCCCAGCATCATGACACTGATCGCAGCACAAGATGGCCAGGAGCCCACTGAGACTGTGCTGGGGCTGAAGGAGAAGGCGGACTTTGCTGATCTCTTGGACACATTTGTGGAAGATTTGACCACAAACGTCCCAGAACTCCCAGAACAAACAAACTTAGATTTATATAATCCATTACATTTGATCGGTGGCTGCAAAAACGTTCAAAAGCTCAAAAACGCTTGTCAGGGTATGCAGAAGAGTTCAACGAACCAGCAGACCGTCCAAGATTAGCAAGATATTCCTGCACAAGTCAGAGCATCCCGCAGTGTCCCGCACAAGCTTCGCCACCTTGGCAAACAGAGCGTGAATCTTCGGAGGCCACTGTGCGTCCCAAAGATCCGCAAGTGACCATGCGCAAGGAGAAGCGAGAAGCGTTCCTCAGCGCAGATTTGGTTTCTCCGTTCGGATTTAGTACACCTCGTTCACTCCGCAGACTCCGGGGTCCACACTCGCCAGAGAGTCTTTGGCATTCTACCTTTCACCACGCCTACCTGTAGAAGCATTGTAGACTTACCTCTCGAAGTTCAGAACTCAAACATTTGTATCATTTGTGAGCTCTTTTCTTCTTTCTGACAGTTCTCTATTGTTTTGATGAATGGCTCATGCGTGCTTCAGATTACAGCAGAATCTGATCCACCTTGACCAAGCAGGGACCGCAGTCGTACGCCTTGGGATCAACTCCCAGGCGTTTGGCAGCAGAGGCGGCACAGCAGCTGGACATTTGGTGGAATGCAGGGCAGCCTAGCTGGTCCTCCAAATTGAATTTACTTTGTTCCAGGCCAGGCTTAAAGAACCTCTCCAGTCAAAATGTTCCAGATTTGTTAAGCCAAAGTACGGATACGGTCTTCAGAATAGCATGTCATGTACCGTGCTCGTCTTGCTACTTGAAGACTCTTGCAGCATGGCATCCTGTACCCATCTGCAGGCCAGTATGAAGGTCTGGGTGACTGCAGACTATGAAGGAAGGTGCACCCACAGAGTGCAGTTCAGCTGGGAAGAGGAATTCTTACACAGAGGAAACCATATGGATATGGACATTCCTTCTTTCATTTTTGTCATACCGGGAGTCTGGGAGAAACGAACTTCAGAGCCACTTGCAGAATTTTCTGCCTTTCAATTGCCAGAAAAGATGAGTCTGTGTTTCGTTGTGGCTCTAGTGTGTGACACAACGATGATAAACTTGTTTTTTTAGACTGAGAGGGTGCAACAGAGAGCAGTGCTCACTGCAGTCTTGACGCGCTGTGCACGGTCTGGCGAAAGACTTCGGATTCATGTAGCCTATCCTAGGCTTTGCGTCCAGCTGTTTGCACTGCCTCTCTGAAGGGATATGCTTGGCCAAGCGAATTGCAACGGTAAAGGAGAGGCTTCACTGACCCGAAACATCTTCGAGCATTTTTTAATTTGTGGAGTTGTGAGCAAGAAGTAAACGAGCACGAAATACTGCTCTTACTAAGCTGAAAAAGTAAGACTTTGGTTGAATAACGTTGTTCAACTTGCGCTGACTCTTTTCAGGGATTTGGACACCAATTTTTCGGGATCAAGGCTATCTACCAAAAGTGTGTTTGCCCTTTCTGCTCCTAACCGAACCCTCAGTGTCCCAGCACCTTATTGTATCCCCAGCAAGGGAGCTTTTGAAGAGTTGTATAAGTGAAGGAGTGCCTCTTACAGTCCCGGAGTTATCTTGTGAGTTCCCTGGAACATTGCACATGTTGCTTTGGGGAGCAGGTTTCGAAGTGAAGTTCAACATGTATATAATATTGTATAGTACATGTATGTTGTACATGTATGTACATGTATGCGCACCGTGTATAGTATAATCGATCTCCTTTGGTTGTTTCGCCAGGCTTTATTTGTGGGACCTCAGAGAGCACACCATTGAGAGCACAATTTACCCCATGAAGGCGTGGATCAGGGGTCGCATAGACGGGTCTAGTGCAGGGAAGGTAGTTGGATGTTCATCATGTGGGTTTGCAGCCATACAGACTGTGACTAAGTGAAACTCTTGAGAAGGCAAGAATGTGTGTCTCTACTTTGTCGTCCTTGTTTGTTTCTCCTCTCTCTCTCTCTTTCTTTATTGCTCTGTGTATGTTCACGTAGCAAGAATACCTGCAGTGAAGATTTCGGACCAACAGGTAACAGTACAAGACAAAAAAGGGTGAACAGTTTAATTTTGATGTTTTAGTACACACAGTACACACATTATATGTCATGGTTTCTGACTTCAAGGAAGCTCTTGGGTCGACAAATGTCCACACAGCAGTTTCTGCAGGTCCTTCAGGCTCACAGCCAAGTGGCCTGGGGCGCCCAGATCAGAAACATTGAAAGCCAAAGTGGGATGCACTTCAAGTAAACTCACATTAGTCGAAGTATGTCACGTATGAAGGTGCTCTTTGCGGCATCCACCACCCTCAACAATCCTTGGTAATGTGCTAAATGGGAAGGACAAATCTGTGGTCCCAAAAGGAAAGTGACTCCACACTGACTGGGTTAGGGCCTCGCCAAATCTGGAAGGACTGAGATTGTTTGTAGCTCGTTTTGCCTTGGGAATCGTTTCACTAAGAATCGTTTCACCTGTAACAAGAAGCTTTTTAGTATATCTTTGAAGCTTCTTAGTAAGCTTTCTAGTAACTAGAAGCTACTAGGTGGAAGCCAACGCTATTAGGTTGGAGGCCATCGCTACTAGTAACAATAAAGCAATCTAGTAACTAGAAGCTTCCTTGGGAATCGTTTCACCTGCAATCTGGAAGGACTGAGATTGTTTGTAGCTCCTTGTGTGTGTGTGTCCACCCCTGGACAAAGGGTTTTCCACCGCCACTTCTTT